CGCCCCTGCTGATGCGTCTTAGCCACTTCCATGCGATTTTGTCAATTTCGTTTTACGCGCTGCGACTTTTAAATAAAAAGGATGCTTTCTACGGATATACCCCCTCCTTTTCCATGGCACTCCCCCCATGCCCTAGTACACCCCCGCCCCCCGTTAACATCCTAAAAACCTTTCCCATATGCTCATTGATGGCTGAAATCCGTGTGATGTCTTCTCCGTCAAAATGTGTGCACACACATTTCGTATTTTGCACGCAGCCACGCCCCCTCCAATCCATTCCGCCTCCAGGAGGGGGGAGACTGCTCCTCATCCATAAGAAGTAGAAGAAGTCATAGAATTCTCGCGTAGACAAAAGAAATTCCAGTAGATGCAACTTCGATTTCAATTGAGTCAAATGCAACTTGACAACGCTGACGACGTCGCTTTGTAAGATGCTACGCCCTGCGCCAGCCACCCCCGTCCCCATTAGACTTCACCCCATTTAGCCCACTTTCTGGGTCGACTTGTCACACCCACACCCACTCCCTCTCTCAGTCGAGCTCCTCACAATGTGTGTGTTGCATCAAAGTCATCGTAAGAGTCGACTTTGGCAGGATCACTTCAAGAAAAATACTAGTTACTAGTTATTTGTTACTTACTAGGTACTAGTTTCTAGTTATTAGCTGCTAGGTTTTTTATAGTAATAAGTTACTGGTTCATAATTATAAGTTATTAGTTTTTAGATCTATAATACTATTCATTAGTCTCTAGGTATAGATACTAGTTCCTAGTTAGTCTTTATTGCTAACCATATATTAGTTTATGTAGAAAAATTCTTGTAACTTGGTAATAATTCCTTATTACTATTCAAAACTAGCTTATAATGGCTTGGTTTACTTGTTGTTGAAGACTAGTTACTTGTTCCTAGTTATACAAACTATTTACTAGGTAATCTTCAATGGTAAAACATCTTATTGGTGGTTTTTGTAGAAAAATTCCTATAACTTTTATTTTTTGGTTTCTATAAAAAATTGACCATCTACTAGTAATTGTGATTATCTACTGGCTAGAAGATTGGCTACTAGTCACTGTTTTCTTCTAAAAAAAATTCTTGTTACCATCTTGCTATTGCATCTTGCATCTTACTATTTAAAGGTCCCTTTTAAAAAAATACTAGTTCTCAAGTATTAGTTTCCATTAATAAAGTCTAAATAATAATTTTTATTATTTACTCGTTACTCGTTAAGGTGTAGTTATAAGAGACTTTGTATTGGCCAGTAGTTAATAATTAGTAGTTACAAACAATAGTTATTAGTATCCAATTATTAGTTACTTCTAACTAATAATTGGGGGTCTAGATAAAAATTAATAGTTTCTAGTTTTAAGACCCTTGTTAGTTTAGTTACTAGTTACTTTTTTATGGTTAATATTTATTGGTTACTAGTTACTGGTTAAGAAAGTCTTAAATACTAGTACTATAATCATTAATCCCTAGTTGTTGGCGACTAGTAACTGCTTTCCAGTCAAAAAATACTCGTCACTATACATAAGTTACTAGTTACTAATTAAATAAAACCAAGTTTCTGATTCCCCAGAGTTTAATTTTAGTTCCAGTTAACAGTCACTAATTACCAGGTTCTTGTCACTAGTCACTCGCTTCTCTCCCAGTGTCAAAACTAAAAAGGAACTGAAGAGCCAGGTGACTTGCCACTTAGCTGCTTACCTTTAAATGCCAAACAAGGCGACACGGAGGAGGCGTGCCAGCCGGAGATAGAAACGGAGACAGCCACGTGGAATGGAGACAGCGACGTAAAAGCGGCGATGGGGACGGGCGAGTGCAAATGGATGGATGAGAGAATCCGCTGACGGATGAGGAGTGCAACCAGGACGATGAAGACATATGCTAATCCACACCGAAGGTAACCATCGTCAATGGATGGCAGCCATCAGTTCAGAAGGAAACGAGTCCTGTTGGCTTTAATGCCTCTTCGGAAGCATTTTTCCATCAGCTTGTGTGGTAAGTTTTTACTTTAAAGACTTGTATCCTTCGGATATTATACGGTTTCTTTAATAAGTTTATGGTTTTTGGTTAATATTTTTATGAAAAGTATCAACAAAACCTCTTAAGATATCCCCTTTATTTTCTTGGGAAAGTGTCGAGAAAACCTCCTAATGACTAAACAGCCTCGTGGTGTGAAGTCTGGGCGCTGGGTAGAAGGTGGAAAACTTTTCCATGGGCCCCCTTTTTTTTTGTATTTGTGTGGCAAGTTGCAGGTTGCCAGTTGCAAGTTTCCAGTTGCAAGTTGCAAGTTTTCCATTCCATTTTCCAGTTAGTTTGCCAAGGCAAGGCAAGGCAGTTTGAAAGTCGCAACCTGAATGATTGCCATTTAGTATGGCACTTGCAACTAATTCGAGATCGCTGAGAGCTGCAGACAGATTTCATTATTTATGCACTTGTGCCAGTGTCTGGCTGTTGGCTCTGTTGGGCTGGCTGTGCCCAAAACAATTAACTTTGTTTTTCGCCAACATTTTCACGCTATTTTCTTCACTCGTTTCTTTTTATTTAAACTTTTATTTACGAATATTTCTATAGTCCAAAGTGCAAGTTTCTCCCTCAGGCTTCCTTGCTTTCGCTATTGCTTTTTGGTCCTTTGCACCTTTTTTTTTTGGTGCAAAACCTCTTCTTCATCAACGCCCTGGCGGCTGATGGCTAAAAGTTTTCGGCCAAAGAAAACCAAAAACACTGGCCGGAGAAATTCGAGAGGTGTGAGGCGCAAGAGGCAGCTCTAATTGAGTTATTTGTGCAACTCGGCCCGCAGCAGGTAAGCAGCAATTAACCGACAGTCCTCGGAGAAAAGCGGAAAACTCACCTGCCACCTTGCCGCACTCCTTGCAGAAGAAGTAGCACCTGCCACTCCAAACTCACTCAAAAGTGCACTGAACTAATGGCTATATAGGAGTAGTACTATATATGCCAAACACTAGCACTCTTCACCAATTTGGGTTAATTCGAATCGACAAATTAAGGCGAATGATTGGCGGATGATTTGAAAAGTGTTTTTAAAAAGGGTTCTAATGGAGTTCCTACTAGGAAGGTAATGTAACACAAATCTAACATTTTTGGAGGCTTTAATATTTAAACAATATTTTTAAAAAGTATCCCTTGCTAGGCATCTTTAAATGCTATTTCCAATAGAGATCGTCCTGAACCCTTTGTTTGTAAGAATAGTCTCTAATTTCTTGTAAGAATAGCCTTAAGATCATATCAGAGTAATATTGGGTATCACATCATTCAAAATATTAGTGAAAAGTATCCCCAATTAAAGACTATTTCCACAATACATACATATCATATTTTTTTTCATATTTTTTCAAGGGTTCCAATCACAAACACTTCTTTTCATATTTTTCCACAAATCCTTTGGGAAATTGTATTTGGCGGAATTCTGTTTACCAGATATAAATTAGCTATACAAATAGTTTGGCATTTTCAAAATAGCTTCCTGTACTGGCGCTACAGAATTATGCGATTTGTGGACTGTGGATGCTGTTCAGAATATATATACTTTATTTGGTGTACTTGGCTGATATAAGTTTGAGATATGGTGTAAGCACAACCAGGTCTACTGCCACGAAACTAAAGCGACCCTCACTTTGAAAATAATTTAATTTTTAACAAGAAAGGAAAGCTAACTTCGGGCGGAGCCGAAGTTTAGATACCCTTGCAGTTAAAACCGGATATATATCGCAAACATCGGATATAGTTGGCCGATCCTTATGGCAATAGGAATATGTAATCCAATTTTTTACAATACAAAATCTAAAAAAAGTCCCAAACTTCTATCTTCAAAAATACGAAAGTTGATAATTCTACCAAATACCATTTCCGATCGTTCAGTTATATGGCAGCTATAGGATATAGTCGGCCGATCCTAATGAAATTTGGTAGGTCGGATCAACTGACCAAATATATAATCTGTACCAAGTTCCAGCTTTCTATCTTCAAAAACACGAGTTGGGTTAAAGTTGGGTCATTTCCGATCGTTCAGTTGTATGGCAGCTATAGGATATAGTCGGCCGATCCTTACGAAATTTAGCATGTCGTATTATTTTGCCAAAAATAGCTCTCACCTAAAATTTGAACTCTCTAACTTTAAAAACACCAAAGTTATACCATTTCCGATCAATCAGTTATATGGCAGCTATAGGATATAGTCGGCCGATCCGGGCCGTTCCGACTTATATACTGCGTGCAAAGGAAAGAAGGGTGTGTGCAAAGTTTCAAGACGATAGCTTTAAAACTGAGAGACTAGTTTGCGTAGAAACAGACAGACGGACAGACAGACGGACAGACGGACAGACGGACATGCTCATATCAACTCAGGAGGTGATCCTGATCAAGAATATATATACTTTATAGGGTCGGAGATGTCTCCTTCACTGCGTTGCACACTTTTGACCAAAATTATAATACCCTCTGCAAGGGTATAAAAACCCTTCTAGGAAGATATTCTAAAATATTTCAACTGAGGAACTACAAAAAAATACGATTTTCCTAAATTTTTAAACTAGAAGACCCCCTTAAGCGCGAAATTCATTTGTTAGAGATAAAGAGACTATTGCGTCATTGAAATCTCTTTGAAGAGTGTTTTCCATTTGGGGAAAATATATAATAATGTTTATAATAAATAATGTAAAATATAAATAATTGATTGTATATAAATACATGTGTAAATATGTATGTACATATATATAGCCTCAATATATACCAAGAAGCAGAAGCTAAAAACATAATCCAGGTCTGGTTGTTAATCACCTATCTCTAATCTCTAATAACCTTTGACATCCCTTCCGTACCAATTCCGTCTGTGGAATATTTTGGCTTTTCTATATGTGAGGAATGTCCCAATTCCTAATCAGAACCTGAAGCTCAGTTTCAAGCTCAAGCTCAAGGCCGAGGTTGGCTTTAAAAAGCCGGAGCTTCACGACTCGCAGCATCAATTCAAATATTTCCAGAGACTCTTTCAATACAAAGTTCCGTTCAATTAAAAAAATACAAGATGATCTTCCCAGTGGCCCTAATTTCCACGTGTTTCCTAATTTCTGCCTCCCTGGGATCGGAAGAAGTAATAGCCGTTTTGAGTGTTTTTATTTTGAAAATTAATTTAAATTGGAATTCCTCAGACCTGCCACCCCCTGGAAGACGAGTGCGAGACCATTACCGTACAACGATACTTCGAGAAGCGCTACAAGAAGGATGCCGAGCTCTTAAAGTGCAGGACAGACTTATCGGAACTTCAAAAAAGATATTCAGACTTTCCGAGCGAGGATCTAGAAAAATATTCCCAGATATCGAAATGCCAACAGGATTACTCGGACTTGGTGAAAAGCCACTTGGAAGTGCTGAGTCAACTTAAAGAAAGTGAAGTTAAATATGAGCAGATGATAAATCAAAAAAATGGAGAAATGGACCTGCTAAAAAATCAAATTAGTGACCTAAAGAAAACAAGTGATCTAGCAATGTATACTAATCTGTTCCGCGAAGAAATTGCCAAGTTGGAAAAAAAAGTAAAGATTGGAGAAATTCATGAAAATAATCTAACAAAGTCGGAAGTAAAAACTGGAGAGCTCCCAACAACTCCACTGCATAATATTAATAACCAGACGACACCGAAAACAGAAATCATAGGTGAGTTGGCAGAACACAACATTTTGCAAAATAAAACATCGAATTTTTCAGATTTTCCAGAAATTTGTCCACGAAGTCAAGCTAATTCCTACGTTGTCCGCGAAATCCAACTTCCTGGCTCAGACCCGTTTAAAGTGGTTTGTATGTCAGATTCGGAGCTTGGATCTAGATGGTTGAATGTTTATAGAAAATATGATGATTCAAAAACATTTAATCGCACGTATGAGGATTATCAACGTGGATTCGGTGATGCAGAAACTGGAGAGTTTTTTATTGGACTGAATCGCTTGCACAATCTGGCCAGTGGAAAGCCTCATGAAGTGGTTTTATACGCCGGTTGGGGGATAAGAAGATGCGACCACTTTGTTGTGGGCGATAGAAGCGAAGGGTACAAGCTAAATACTATTGGCAATTGTACTGGAGACGACTGGATGAGCCCTAAGCAGGGCTCTCAATTTTCGACCTTCGATCAAGATGAGGATGGAGATCCTGATCGTAATTTGGCGGAGGAAGTGGGCTATGGCTGGTGGTTCGATCCTGGTATGAGGTGTGTATTCTAATTTGTTTTTTCCTTTTTTTTCATCTCCAACTAGAAAACTCTCTAAAATAACTAACATGAAATCATTTTTAAATTCTATTTTTTCATCTATTAGCCACGACAAGAATGATATAGAAATTTTCATCCGAAGAACCGATTGAAGAAAACAAAAAGCCTTTTAAAACGGACTTGGAAAATAAACCATTTTTGGATAATATATGTAATCGTCATTAGCACTAAAATGTAATTACATTATTGCTAATATTATAAAGACGATAATTAGACAAACTGTACTCTTCTATTTTTAAACTTTTAAATAAAAGAAACAAATAAAATATATAAAAATTAATTAAAATTAATTATTTTCACTGCAAAAAGTTTGAGAAGGTCGGAAACATTTTTGCATTTCAGACATTTCAGGATCAGCCTCAACGGAGCTTTTGAGACATAAACGAGCGACTGTGGTTGAGTTGTGAAAAATGGCTAACAAACTTGGTCAGAAGCTGGAGAATGATTTCCTTTGGAGGTTGGCCCTTAAGAAATATGAAGCACAGTCTCAACTTTTTTTGTCTAAAAACAAACAAGTTACGGAATAGTCGATCGATCAGTTGAGATCCAATGAATATCATATCCATTAGCTTCGCTTTACTTTCTGTTTAAAAATTAATTAATCGCTAATCTGAGGGAAATATAAGCATCGCTTTGCTTATAAATGTGTTAATTTACTTCATTTTTATTCCCAAAGATCTATTAGCAAGAAGCTCTTAACAGAAACTCGAAAATTGCAGATCTTATTACATGCTTTTTCCCAAAAATGTAAAATAATATAAAGTTTGTTTTTCCAACATCTCTTTCTGGGAAGCATAGAGCAATGATTTGAGGCAAAATATAATAAATATAATTTAACAATTTATAAATTAATAAATCTTCATAAAATTTAATTTTAAGACCCTATTTTTAAAATTTAATCTAAATCTAAATCTTTCATTGATTTTGACTTTTATCGTTGCGGTTGACCTTTCTGGACAATTACCCATGTGTGTACTTATATTTCTATAAATATATCTGCATACTATTCCTATAGCTATATATGGTATATCTTATATAACAATGGCTATATTTACATACTATCTGTATAGCTATATCCGCTATCCCCATATGTACTATCTGTATCTCTATATGTATTATTCGAGTGGCTATATCTACTATCCCTATAAATTTATACCTATATCTGCTATCCCTTAAGCTTATACTGCATATCCTTACTATCTATCTATACATACTATCCTATGCTATTTATCTAAAGAGATATATGTATACCGATCCTATACATCTACTATTAGTTATTTTTTCAACAAATATTTACAATGTTTAGAAATCCATATCCCTAAAAAAACAATACAAAGGAGAAATATCTGTGGATTATCTAGAAGGATATACCACAAACGTTTCGGGGACTATCACATCGTACTATCGTATAATTTAATTAAAAGTTATTCAAACCAAATATGTATATAATAATAAATAATAATAATTTTAAACAAAATACTAAGCCAAGTCCAAAGAGAAATCCTCTGCTTAATCCTCTGACATGCCACTTTTCATTAATTGTTTTCTGGAAACCCACCGGAAAACAATTAAAAAATCACTTTTCATAAAAAAAAAACAACTGCAATCATCAATGGCTGAGCTCATTCTGCAATGAGCTTTCTGATTTTCTGACCCGAATCACCGTTGGCTCCCCGAGCTCATTAACCCTTGTCAGCCATACCATTATAGATGCCAAGGGGACCCGACCTTGACCTGTCCAAGACCCGTCTCTCTCTCTCCCTTTGGCCAGACTATCTGGATTCAGGATTTTAATTTTCTATTTTCCATTTTGGCCATAAATTGCAATCCCGTTCCAATTAGTTGCGAATGCCATTGCCGCCAAGGTCAATGGACCTTTTCGATTCAGGATAAGAGTCCACAAAACGGAAAAAGAAAAAAAAAAAAAAAAGGGACACAGGATATGGCCAAGGATAAGGATGTTAATGGCCATGGAAATGGAAATGGCAATGCCAACAGGAGTTGGAGTAGTTCTTGGCCATTAGGCGTGCGCTGCAGGCTTAATTAATCATGGCTAAGTGAGTCTAACCAAAAAAAAAAAAAGAAAAAAATACCGAGACGGAAAAAAAAAAGAAACTATTAGACATAAATGTGATTTTTCCGTGGCTTTCTCGTTTATCGCTTGCTTTTTCGTTTCCGCTTTCGTCTTTTTCCTTTTGTACTTCACCTCCTCTTCCTCCTCGCTCTGGCCACCATCTTTTGTCCGTTAGCCTTCGCACAATGGACGTTTCCGGCTAGTTGGCACTACACTCGAAATAATTAGTGGCTCTTTTTATGTTACTTTTTTTTTTATTTTAAACATAATTCGTTTTTTACATATTATTTGAATTATTATTTTATTTTGAAAATTTTGAATAAATATGAGCTAATTTGAATTAAGAATTATTTTTGAGCTTTTATTTTTGGAAATTCTTTAAAATTTTAATATTTAAAAAAATTCTAATTTATTAGCCCCCACATTTCTCTCAGTGCTTACAAAGCCATAGAGGACAGCGCACAAATTACTTAAAGATAGATAGAGCCACCGGATGAGGTGAAGGATGTGGCAGCAGGAGTCAAAGGAGAAGGTGACAGGAGCAGGCCGAGGGTTGGTGGTGGGGCAGGGCAGGGGGCGCGACCGAGGACTAAGGAGCCAAGTGGGCGGAGCCAGGCAACGACGCGTTATTTCCGTTTCCGGTCCAGCATTCAACACTCGCATCGAGCCGCATTGAGTGATGAAGTTTCGCAGTCGCTGTCTTGCCACTTGCCCCTTGGCCCGAACCACGCCCTCTAAGCCACCCGCCGCCCTCCCATAATCATTGTTTTTTTTTTTTTTTGTGATTTGCTTGTGTTGGCCGCCACACTCTGTTTTTTTTGTTGTTGGGCCCAAGTGATAAAATGTTTTATGTGCTCGAGTGTCTGATAACAATAAATAACGCCATCAGGACGAAAGAGGACTCACCCTTAGAGGATACGAGAGGGGAGAAAAGGGGGGTGGCGCTGGCATGTAAACAAATTGGTGTTGAAGGCATTTAGCCCTTTGTTGCCTCAACTGGCTCAACTGCCCCCAACCGCCAACTGCCGACTGCTGCGTTGAGCGAAAATTTGTGGCAAGTTCGTTTGTTTAGGCCTCAAAGTTTTGTGGCCCGAGCCCTTAAACCCTAAACCCTATACCCTGTGAACCCTTGGCCATTTTTCTTTCATCGGGTCTTGATGAATTGTAATCAGCTTCAAATTGGAACAAGGGCCATCCTCAGCCAGCGCCCCAACTCGTATTAATCATCAAAACTTTGAATGGGTTTGCCGAAATCCGATTTGATTAGTTGGCAAAATATGTTTCCCCGAAACCATTAACAGAGCAACAGTTTCTTGGCTACAAAATACTAGTTACTAAGGGATTTAACAAATATTAATCTTTAATATATGTATATACCAAAAAAAAAAACTAAATTAAAATAAATATTTAATATTTTTATAGTCAATTTACATATCCGATGGATGTGCATAATTTAAGCGGAAGGACAAACAAATAATTTCATTTTAATTTATTTGCATTCTCATTAGGGCCACAATTAAATTGCTCTCCTCATTTCCATTTTTCGAACTTAATAAACGCATAATTGAATAATTATGAGCAGGAAACCGGAAAAAAATGTGAAATGTGAAAAAAAATCAAGTTAAAAGGCCTAAATTATGCAAAAGTAGGAGATCCTTGTATATAATTGTACTTGGTGCTCGTGGTGTAAAGGGGTATATTGTTTTTTTGAGCAATTTGTGTAACTGGGAGATGTATTTCCTAAGCAGCGGAGTAGATATGACCCTGTCCGTGGGTCCGTCTCTCCGCCAGTCTATACAAACGTGTGGATCTCAGAGACTATAAAATTTAGAGCTATGGGATTTGGTATGTGGGATCCTATACTACCTCCGCAGATCCAAGTTATGTGACTTTTTTTTAAGAATTTCTCTTCCTTAAAATCTTTTCTCAATAGCTGCTTTCTAAAGTTCCAATTCGAGAAAGTTTTCTATAGTCGATAACCCCTTCTTAAGCACTCCATTCTTGCTTTTTTTATAGACCCCAAAGCATTGTTCTTGTTTCCAAACCAAATCCGAGGATTTTTAGTGAAGTTATGGGTATTTCTGACCCACTTGACTCCTTTCTGACCTAAAAAGCACCCGAAAGAATGCCAAAAAGGTTATCTTTTGTTGTTTTACACATAGATCACATCATTTCGTTTGGTTTTAAAGCCAAATCTGATGATTTTAAGCCTTAAGAATGTATTATATAGCCAATTATATAGCCAGTTTCCCTAATACCAAGCTTCGCCGCACCCAAGAGTATGGCACAAAATCGTATTTTTTTTAAATATTAAAGCTTAAGCAAAGAATACCGGGTGTCATATAGTCTATAAACTCTTCTAAAGCCACACTTTCTTGTTTTATATATAGATCCCGACCATTGTTTTGGTTTTAAAGCAAATAAAATGATTTTCCTTTTGTTTTTTGTTGGATTTTCAAGCCAAAAATCCCAAAAAACAACACAATACGCACCAACCAATTTTTAATTTGGTTTGGAAAAGCGAGGAAAACAGGGGAAAATGCTATGAAACTGGCACAGAAGAAGAACTGGCAAGCCGAGAATCTCACAGAGAAAATGTGCGAAATGGACAAATGAAAAATACGGCGAGCAGCCGAAAAGCTTTTAATTATGTTGATTTTTCGCAGATTTAATTTTTACCTGCGTTCGTTAAGTTTGCATCGCAAACCAAATGGAATTTAATTTAATCCTTTACCAGCCTCAGACCAGCAAAAAAAAACAACCAGAAACAGAAACAGGAATGTTTTTTTTTTCTGTCTTTTGTATTTAAATTGAACAGCAAAAGAGGCAAACCGAAAAGCAAACTGAAAAGCCAAATTATAAAAGCACTTTTTTTGGCCAAAAAGAGTGAATGAAAAAAAAAAATTTGAATAGAAACGAAAAAAAATACTTCAAATGCTTTCCATTCAAATGCCAAACTGGGATGCCAAGCTGATAATGGCCAAGGTATAGTATAAAGGATAGCAAGGATAAAGGGGCTAACGTAGCACGTTTTAGTTAATGTTACACCATTTTGGCTTTAATTACTTTTTTCCGACTTTGGCACTCTTTGAACTTTTCAACTTTTCAGCTCAAACAGCCCCAAAACAGCTTCATTAAATTGGGGGAGGTGTGTGGCTCTCGATTACGTTTTCTATTTCACCTCGAATATAATTTAATAATTGCATTTGGCCGATAAGCTGATTTGGCCGCATTATTCGGCTTAAACCGCATTTGAACGCATTATTTACCTATCGAGTTTGGCTTTTGATTTTATTTTGGCCGTAGCCGTGGCCGTGGCTGGCCAATCACATTATCACACAACTGCGGACGAATCATTGATGCTTCCATCATCCCGATTTCGGGATTATTCTGTTTGGAATTTGCTGATTAAATACTTTGATTATTTTTTGTGATTTAATATGGATGTATGGATGGAATAGCTGTTGAGAATCTTTAATATTATGGTTTTCAAATAGAAATTTCAAATATATAGCTATAACTATATTATGGTTGTATGGTATAATTTTATGGTATTTAATATTTGAGTAATATTTTAGTATAATTATGAACAAATATATATATTTATATTTTTCGAGCTTTTGATATTTTACATACTCTTAATAAAATAGTATTTTTTGGTATTATTTTAGGGGTTTCTATAATCCATTCAAATAATATAAATCAGTGATAATTTAATTTCTGATCCATCAAGATTAATACTTTACTGTTTGTATGCTTTAGGTAAAATTTTAAAAAACATAATTTGGAAATCTTTTAACTTTTAGCTTTCTTATTATGGTCTTTAATTACGGTATTTTTTAAGTTTTTTTTTTCAGTTCATAAGAAAATAGAGTAATAAAATCAAAGAAATAAATCAAAAATCACTTACCAGAGTCTTCCTATTTGGCAACAACGGATCTTTCGTTTTAGCAACATGTTGCTTCAGATTGGCAACATTCTTTCCACTTTTCTTTCCAATTCGTTTATTTCCAGCTCCAGCTCTGTTTGTCAATTTTATTTTCGCTTTCATTCTTTTACAGCTTTTTTTACTCACTTTCAATTGTCTATTGTTTTATTGACCTTTTCGCACTCGCGAATTTACACTTTTTTGCAACATGAGTTCTTTTCCACTTTTAGTTAATTATTTTTACTAATTTACAAAAAAAATTATAATGAAAAGGGAACAGAAAAATCCCAAAAAGATCCATTAATTGGATTCCAATTCTAAAAATCTAAAGCTCGTGAGGGAGCTTACCGCTCTTGGAAAGATTTATCATAAAGAATTATCATAAAAATGGAAAAGAAACATGTTAACAAACGCAATATGACACAATATTTTCACTTCTACTTTTAAATTACTTTACAATCTTACGAATTTTTAACTTTTTTTTGTTTACTTTATATATTGTTTAACATCTCAATGTTCAGTCTTTGATTTTTTTTTAAAGATTATTACAAATATTTGACGTTGATACTTAAGAAACTTTATAGTTTTTTATCTGCAATAGAATTTAATATTTGTAATGCATTTAACGAAATTTATTGGTGAAATATAAATAATAATATTTTTATTTAATTTTAAAAGAAACAATATTTTCATTTTCAATAAAGATAATAAATAAAATCACTTACTTAAATATTTCTTCATATTCCAATTCTTCATTTTCCAATAAATTCCTTCAGCCATTTTGTTCTTCTTCTTCTTTTGTACTTCCATTTTCTTCCTCATTCTTAGGTATTTCTTTCCTCTTCTTCCAACTCAACTTCCAAATGGTGGTCCGTTCTTTTCACTCAGCCTGGGACGCCACGTGTTCTCTTTGATTTTCACACTTTATTCAGACTTATTCTGCAGCGAAAAACTTTTAAATATTATATTTTATATTTCAGTTTTCATTTACACAGTTCCTTTAATAATAAAACACACTAATTATTCAATTTAATTCATTCTAGATCAGTTACTTTTTCATTCACCATTTTTTCTTCCGCCATTTTGTCACTCTCATTTTTTCACCCTGGTGTCTCATCAGCAAAAACTCCATTTCTTTGGCGTTTTTTCCACGTTTTCTCTTATGATTACACTGTTTATGTTTTTTAGATCACTTGCCTGCATATTGTTAACAATTTTCACTGGTTTTTAGGCCTTTAATCAACTTTTTCGGCTTATTTGAAAATTTTCTTCACGGAAGAACCTCACTCCATCAAGGGTTGCTGCGCACTGTGCCCTATGAGCGGCTAGAGCTGAGCTTGCAGCGCATGGCGATATTTCCGCTATGTTGCTCTCTTATTTCTCTTTACCTCTAAGTCATTGGCCAGTGCAGTTGCAATGGGGAGTGAGATGGCGGATAAGCTTGGCTTGCCGTGTACCGCAATGGTACCGGTGGAGTGCTCCATTTCTTTGGCGTTTTTTCCACGTTTTCGCTTATGATTACACTGTTTATGTTTTTTAGATCACTTGCCTGCATATTTTTAAAACTTTTCACTAGTTTTTTGGCCTATTAATACACCTATTCGGCTTATTTGAAAATTTTCTTCACGGAAGAACCTTACTCCATCAAGGGTTGCTGCGCACTGTGCCCTATGAGCGGCTAGAGCTGAGCTTGCAGCGCATGGCGAAATTTCCGCTATGTTGCTCTCTTATTTCTCTTTACCTCTAAGTCATTGGCCAGTGCAGTTGCAAGGGGGAGTGAGATGGCGGATGGTACCGGTGGAGGTGCTTAAATAGCTCTCTCCGGACTTCTCTTGAAATGGCAGCCCTTAAGCTGCTTAAGCTACTCTCTTTCAGCTACTCCTAGCTGAAAGTCGCTCCGCTTAATCTAATCTTAATGTGGAACATGAGGGAAATCGTCCATTTTTATGTTTGCCTTTGATTTTCAAATAACTTTGATATCATTTTCTACAAACTAAGCTTACAGAGCATGGCGAAATTCCTTCAATGGCACTCTCTTCTTGCTTTTCCCATGTAAGTCATTGGCCAGTGCAATGGTACCGGTGGAGATGCTTAGTTCTTGCGGGACTGCTCTTGATATGGCTCACCTTAAGATGCTCTTGAAATTTCTTCCCCTTAAGGTGTTTAAGCTGCACCGCTTAAGGTGTTTTCCTTAAGCGGCTCTCCTCAAGCTACTCCTATTCATTCGCCACCTTAAACTGCTTTATTTTGCTTTGAAGCAGTGCAAGTAGAATGTGGAAAAATGAAAATGGCTATGGCTTTTTATAGGATGGATTTTATCATTACCTTTAATTTTAATTTAATTTTGATTGAATTCTCAACCAAATAAATACACCAAACAAAATTACATACAATATCTTTAACTTTATTCATAATCATTTGCCATTTAAAAAAAATAATTTGGCCAGATCCTATAAGGACCAAAGCCAGGACATATAAAGTACACACATATACAGTTTTTTTATTTTCTATACCTATGTTGGTATATTAAAGCTATAAGGAGATTGGTGGTGGGGATAGGATATATATCATATTTTATTTATAATATTTTATTTATAATATTTACGATTCTTAATCACTAAACAGAACACCCGAAATAAAGTGAAGCACAAAACTGTATCACTGGATCGAAAATCCATCGATCTTATCACAAAAAAACTTGCTCTATAGTACCTATAGGTAAAGGTTTAATAAAAAAAAAATTTGTTATCATTATTATCATTATTTTTGATTGAAATATTATTGTTTTGTAGTTCCTGATTTTCCATATTAAATTTTTTTTTGGCATTTAAAAAACACAGTAACAGGTCTGATTAGAAAAAAAATAAAAGAATATTAAAATATTTTAAATTCTGATATGATCTCTAGGTTGTAGTTTCCTCATAGCCACAGTGTATATAGCCCGTTTCCAGCGATCCTGCCACCGCCGCCGACTTGCTCGGCAAGTCATGATCATTTTTGGTAACACCGTTTAGGCCATTTGCCTCAGGCTTTGAGTTACTCGTCTCGCAACTGTCCAGGATTCGCTCGAAAACGGTCTCGAAGCGACAGCGATTTATCGAAAACCTGGCTACATCCACGCACAGATCCCTTAGGATGGCGAACAGCTCCGACAGTAGTGGGGACTGGTCGGCCGGATGGGAGGAGGAACGGACTTTCACTAAGAACCTCAGGCTGTGGGCGTAGTGCTGGAGGTCCTTGAGGCTCGGCAGGCGTTGGTGAAGCGTTCTCACCAGCAGCGCCTGCTGGGCCGGCGGGCAGAAGCAGTTGACGGCATAGTACCCTCCGTACTCCGACTTCAGACGGGCGGGACTATCACTGGCTATAACCTGGCCGGCCCGGAGAACCGCCACTCGCTGGCACAGATGCTCGATCTCCGACACCGAATGCGAGGTCAGGATCACCGCCCGCCGGGCCAACAGCAACTGCTCGATGGTGGCGTAGACCAGGTCCCTGGTCACCGGATCCATGTCGCTTGTCGGCTCGTCCATCAGAACGGTGGGCGTGTACCCGCAACAGGTCACGGCCACGGTAAGTTTTCTCCGGTTGCCGCCACTCAGATTCCGCACCTGGATGTCCTTGTAAGGACGCAGTTCGTAGGTGTCCAGGACTCTGTCCAGGAACTGCTCCAGCTGCCGGATGCCGCGCAATCTTCCATAGAAGCGGATGCACTCGCTGACGGTGAGCAGGGGATCCAGGGGATTACTTTGGGGGCAGTACGAAACACCAGGCTATAAAAAAAAGATTAAAGTTTGTTGTTAATTAAATAATATACATATTCTAAATATATAATTTATTGCCATTTGTGTTATAGAAGCCATTTTTCATTGGGTTTAAAGTTATTTTGCTAAATATATACGTTCTATGTATAATTAATAATAATAATTATAGTAATAATAATATAATAATAATTATTAATTATACATTAAACAAGAAACGAAAGCTAACTTCAAGCAGAGAAAAAGTATCGGATATAATTGTTATTAGATCGTTATTAAAACTATATTATAAAACCAATGTATTTAAATACCAAATAAACAATGAAAGGAATGCTAACTTCGGAGAATATCATATAATAACCAATTTATTACAATAAAATATATTAAAAAAAAGTCTCAAGTTTTTATTTCTAACAAAAACCATTTCCGAACGTTTATATGGCAACTAAAATATATAGTCGGCCGATCCTTACGAAATTTGGCATGTAGCATTATTTTGCAAAAAATAAAATCCATACAATCCTGAATATACCTACATACCAAGATATTTATACCAAGAAGAATATAATATATATATATGGTATGTTATAATATAATATATAACATATAGAATATAATATATAAACAAGAATATATACCAAGAAGAAGAAGCTAAGAACATAAACCAGGTCTTGTTGTTAATCACCTCACTCTAATCTCTGATAACCCTTGACACGCTTTCCGTACGAATTGTGTCTGTGGAATAACATATTTTTGGCTATTCCATATGGGTATGTCCCAATTTCTTATCAGAAACTAAAGCTCAAGCTCATGTCCGAGGACGGCTTTAAAAAGCCGGAGCTTGAAGACTCGCAGCATCAGTTCAAATATTCCCAGAGACTCTTTCAGTAGAAACTTCAGTTCAATTAAAAAATACAAGATGATCTTCCCCGTGGTCCTCATTTCTGCCATTTTCCTAATTTCCGCCTCCTTGGGATCGGAAGAAGTAAGTTATACCTTTTTTGAGTGTTTTTATTTTGAAAAGTAATTTAATTTTTAATTCCACAGACCTGCCATCCCCTGGAAGAAGAGTGCGAGACCATTAATGTGCAACGGTACTTCGAGAAGTGCCACAAGAAGGATGTCCAACTCCTAAGGTGCAAGACAGACTATTCGGAACTTCAGAAACAATACTCGGATTTGCAGAGCGAGGATCTAAAACAATCTGAGATATCCAAATGCCAACAGAGTTATTCGGACTTGGTGAGAAAGCATTGGGAAGTGCAGAGTCAACTTAGTGATGAGAAAGTTAAAAATGAGCAGTTGCATTCGAAGCATCTGGAAGTTGAAAATCTAAAAGCTCTAATAAAGCAACAAAGTGAGGGAATCGACCTCCTAAAAGATCAAATTAGGGAACTAAAAGAAAAAAGTGAACTTGCAACGTTCCGCGAAAACATCGATAAGTTGGAAAAAATAGTAAAGAACGGAGGAATTCATGAAAATAATCCAACAAAGTCGGAAGTAGGAACTGGAGAGCTCCCAACAACTCCATTCCCTAATATTAATATTCAGACGACGCCGAAAACAGAAACCATAGGTAAGTCGGCAGAACCCAGTTATTTACAAAATAACATAACGAGTTTTTCAGATTTTCCAGATACTTGTCCACGAAACCAAAACGAAACGTTAGTTCACCGCGAAATCCAACTACCAGGCTCAGACCCGTTTAAAGTGGTTTGTATGTCAGATTCGTATATTGGATCTAGATGGTTGAAGGTTCTTAAAAAAATGTCTGATTCACAAATATTTAATCGCACGTATGAGGATTATGAACGTGGATTTGGCGATGTCGGAACTGATGGTTTCGGTGAGTTCTTTGTTGGACTCAACCGATTGCACCGTCTGACCAGTGGAAAGCCTCATGAAGTGATTTTATTGACCACTGCGGGGGAGAGATTGTGCGACCACTTTGTTGTGGGCGATCGAAGCGAAGGCTACAAGGTGAAAAATATTGACAATTGTGATGACTTGATGATCCCTAAGCAGGGCTCCAAATTTTCTACGTTCGATCGAGATGAGGATGGAGTTCCTGATCGTAATTTGGCGGAGGAAGAAGGCTATGGCTGGTGGTTCGATCCTGCCATGAGGTGTGTATTCTAGATTGGTTATTCCTTTTGTTTCATCTCCAACTTGACATTTCTAAAATAACTAACTCGAAATAATTTATAAATTCTTTTTTTCATTGCGGGATCTACTATGTAGCTACAAAAATGAACTCATTTATATGTACATCCGAAGAAAAGATTGAAAGCAAAAAGCCTTTTAAAACGGATTTGGAAAATGAAATATTTTATGGAAAATAAAAAGATTGAAAATATGCAATAAAATGTAATTATATTAATTTTAAAATTATAAAGACGATAACTAAATAAACTGTTCTTTTATATTTTTTCAAATTTTGAATACAATTTCCAATTTCACTGGAAAACTTTTGAGATGGTCGAAAATCAAAATTTTGAATTTCAGAGTTATAGCTTTTCCGATCGTTCAGTATTGGATGTAGGATATATAAAAAGGATGCTCTTAAAAGTACTTGGTATCAGAGATGTAGCTTCTATTCCATTATAACCTCTTCTTGTGACCCCCACTCACCTGTTCAAAGTAGATGTGGCCCACATTCGGCTGCAGCTGTCCTGTAAGCAGTTTGAAAATGGTCGACTTGCCGGCTCCGTTCTTGCCCAACAGCCCAAAGCACTCGCCCCTCTGGACACTGAAGTGCACCTGCCGGACGGCGTACCTGCCTCGGCTATAGGCCAGCCACAGGTTCTCGGCTCGTACCGCCTCCCCGGCGGCCACACAGCTCTTGAAAATGCTCTGGATGTTGACCAGCTTCAGTTGGCCCAGCTTGTCCAGTTCCCGGCGATAGTGGCAGTCCAGCAGGCGCTCCACCTTCTGCCAGATCTTGGCCAGCAGGTGCCACTCGATGAGGACGTTGAGGATCAGGCCACACACCCCCACCACGAACAGGGCGACAAAGTGACGTGCCAACAGGTCGCTGGCCAGTGGATGCTTGTAGGAGTCGATGTCGTAGCGCCGGAAGACCAGAGCCACCATGTAGTTCTTGCACAGCTCCAGGAGGCCGTCGCCCAAGGCATGTTGCGGGAATAAAAGGAACAGGTTATTGAGGGCGTGTCGCCAGTCATCCCAGGCAGCTCCCTCGCCAACAACGCCCAGAATCAGGATAACGCCCATGGTGGCCAGAGGGATGATCAGGTTGGCGCAGAAAATCGTGACAATGGCAATGCTGGAGTCGCTAAAGAGTTTCTCAGCCACATGAACGGCAGGAACACAAGCGAAGCTATCAAGAAATATTTTTTAAAAATTAAAAAATATTTAAAAATATTATGATTTAACTTAAAAAACCCACCTAAATGCCAATGAAAGCCCTATGATGCCCACCAATTGCTGGCGAGCCACAAACACTGGCATGCCAAAGATGAAGACCACCAGGAGCAGGACAATGAGTGCCAGGACCATCACAAGATAGTCCCACACGAAGGACACCGACCAGTAGGTCACGGCACTCACTCCGCACAATCGCTGCTGGAGCTTCTCGCCGTTGATCCTCTCGTTGACCAAATACACCGATCCGGCCGCCACCACCAGGCCGAAGGCAATCAGAAGGATAAAGACCATGCAGGAGTCGCCGGCCTGCCGCAGCACGGATGTGGTGGAGAGCTCCGAGAAGCCCAGTTTCCAGGGCTCGTTGAGCGTAAGGACACTGTACTCTGAGTCGTTCATGGTGGTGCGTAGCAGCTCCGTGTTCAGGTCGTTCAACCAGGACACCATAGCGTGATATCCTTTGTTGTTGTACCAGACAGTGGCGGCACTGCCGTTCAAGCTATAGCCGCCATATCGACGCTCCCGATACTCATCGAGAGTGTTCAGGACCCAGTCGTAGGCCTTTGACGAGTCGTTAAACTCCCGGCACTCGCCAAGGGACTCGCAGGACTCCTTCAGATGGGGATACAGCTTATCGGTGAACTTTGTGGCCACCTCCTGGGACAGAAACTCGGCACTCTTGGGATATAGATTCCTGTTGAGTGGCAATACCGTATCGAAGTCATCCTCCAGTCGGTAGCTGACAAACCACATGGCGCAGAGCTCGAAGAGAGCTGGCAGCAGCAGGACGTACAGCAGGAGTCTATAGTTCCTGGCCAGATGCCTCAACCGCTTGCCCATCAGAAGCTTGAACTGGGCGCAGGCTGAGGGAGGATCGTCGGTGACGCTGGCCGGTCCTGTCACCACACCGTTCGGTTCTGTCGTTCCATTTCTCGGCCTTGGATCCTCACCGTTGCGATTCAGTTGCTCGAACTCCTGTTCCAGGCTGTTGCTGCTGGTCAGCTCCAGGTCGGCAATGCCGCTCGAGGTCTCCTGATCCTGCAGGAATTCCAGGAACTCTACAGCACTTGGCGTTAGGTTCTCCGCATAGCTGGCACTGATGGTGAGACTCTGTGGATGATCGCCGGACTGAAGCAACTGGCTCTGTGGCAGGAGCTTCTGGGCCTTCTGGGCTACCAAGGCCACTCCTGTGGCATCCGAGCAGCGCATCCGTAGGCTGTAGTTTGAGGTGCTTAGCTGTTGGAGCGAATCCCTGCTATGCTGGGCTATTATCCGACCCTACAATAGAGATCGTTGTGTGAGAGAAAGCGTAAAGGACATGGAAGACTACTTACATTTCTCATTATCACCAGAAAATCACTCAGGTACTTGGCTTCGTCTAGGAAGTGTGTGGCAAAGATCACGGCACGTCCTTGCCTCAGGCGCTCGATCAACTGCCAAATGTCCTTGCGCGCCTTGGCATCCACGCCGTTACACGGCTCGTCCAGGATAACGACATTCGGCGAGGCTATGAAGGCGATGGCCACACAGAGCCGTCTCCGATACCCGCCCGACAGCTGACTGGCCGCAAAGGACTCGTGCTGGCCGAAGTTCAGGCTCTGCAAGGTTCTCGCCACTTCGGCGCGGATCTCGTCCTTGCCAGTCTCGCCCCGCGGCATCTTGATCTGGGCGTACAGTTGCAGATGCTCTCGTGCCGTCAGAGTGGGTATCAGGATGTTGTCCTGCCAGCACACTCCCACCTGATGCTCTCCGGCCAGCAGGACTCGGCCCGTATCCTGTCGTATCTGTCCTGTTAGCAGCTTGATCAGTGTACTCTTTCCCGCTCCATTCCGGCCCAGCAGGCAGCTGACCTGGTTCCGAGCAAAGTCCATCGTCAGGTTGGAGACGGCGCACTTGCTGCCGTACAGCTTGGTGACATTCGAGAGGGAGGCGCCCAGCTTGTCGTCCAGCTGGGAGCGAGTGACCTTTACGAAGCTGTAGTTGGCTGGAAATGAGGGATAGGGGTTTTACTGGAACTACTCATGAAAGAATAGGGCTTTTTTCATAGATCCCTAAATAAAAGGTTTTTATTTTACTCTTCTAGTTCTTCTAAAACCAAAACTAGAAGAACTAGATTACTCTGCTCTTTAAAGTCCTTTGAATACTTACTTCTCTTGTAACGCTGATAGGCCAAGCCAATGACCGCATACAGAAGGAAATCCAACAGGAACATGAGGAAGGCCATGGCACACTCACTCCTCGCAGGACCCAAGCGGAACAAATGAATCGGCGTTAGTCCCTCCTGCTGCAACTCCATACGCATCAGTTCACTCCATCCCTTGGCAAAGGCCGTGGTAAAGGATAAATCCACCAGGAAGTTTTCAAAGACACTCAGCTTGGCATCAAACATCAGGACAATGATAAAAGGGCACAAGGTGATGAAGAAAAGCAGAGCACTAGCCACGGCACCAATATTGGCGGAATTGAAGAAATTAGAGCACATGTAACTGAAAAGTAAGATAAAAAATATTAGTTTAAAATAGTATATTTAAGAACGCATAAACTTACCAAAAAGATATGAGACAAACGCCAAAACTCATACAATAAAACATCATAAAGAACCAGTTGGTAAAGGCCAGAATACCGCCACTATATAGAACAGCACTTATAAGACAAAAGATCACACATAGTTCCATGAGACTCATCAAAGCCCAGGCCATCAGTTCGGATTGAGCCTTCAGACCCATAGATCGCATTAGCTGGAGAGTATTGTAAAGATTATGTATTGGAGACCTAGGGTTTTGAGTCGAAAACTAACCATACTATTTCTGCTTTCTCGCATCCAGATCCTTTCTCTCACACATATAGCCACGGCTACTACCAGACCCAATAGGAAAGCTATTTGAACGCCTTGAGAGAGGTATAGACCACGTTTGAAACTAAAAGTTATAGAAAAATAGATAAAGTTTATAAAAATACATACAAAACCCCCATGTCAAGCCCTCACTTACACATCATTAAGAAAAGCTGGATATGGAAATTGTTTCGTATAGAACTGCATACTATCCACTTGAAACTTGGGCTTCTTGTTGGCATCTCCAGAACCCCCCAAGCCACCCAGAAAATCAAGAAAACCCTGACGCTTGGCTCGTTTCAAGACCTCTTCGCCTTTGAGTAACAGCAGCTCGGGTTCTTCATTTGGATCGGTGGTGACTCCGTTCTCCGGCACATTGGTGACTCCGATATCGGGTTGTGTGGTAACTCCACTTATTGTGGTATCCTCTTCCTTCTCTTCAAAGGGCTGGGCTTTTGGTGTAGCCTTCTCCGCGCTGAAATCCAAATCATCATCTTCATCGCTGTCCTCGCTAGAATCATCTACGGCCTTGATGCTGAAGAGTCCTGGTCCGCTGGTAGTCTTTCCACTAGTATCCTCGTCTTCTGGCACGAATCCTGCCTCGTCTCGTTTGTGTTTTATGATACCCATATCGATCATCTGCTTGAGTTGAACAAATCCACGATGATATTTCAGATCCAAGACCATACTATCCGCAGGTCCAGGGAACCAAAAACGATTACGATTCTCAAAGGTGGGCTGAGTGTTATCCGTGTCCATGTGCAGGCGATAGGAGGCCTCTTTCAGGCCCACATCCTCCAGATTCAAAGCAGCCAAAAAGATCTTATTCTGATTCAGTTCGTAGGCTCTCTTCCGCAAGGCCGCTTCACTTTCCACAGCCTCGAACCGATCCGCCGAAACACAATCCATTATGTCAGCCACCGTGGTTAGGATATCATAGATGAGCTGATTGGTTCTCAGATACTGGAAGATACTTTCGATTTGGCCAATATCGAAGTCATCGCCCACGAGGCTCTTCACCAAGGGAGATCGGGCCAGTTTGAGAAGATTATCGAAGGCCTCTTGGAAGGTGGCGTTTGTGTGGAGTTTGGTTAGGATGGTGGCTGCTGCTCGGGAGAGTTGCTTCAATCGATCTATTTCCTCAAAGGTGGAGTTACTCTAAAAGTGGAGGATTTATTTATAATATTATTTAAAATTATGTTCAATTATTTCTTACAAATTGAACCACACTTTCAGTCAAAGCAGTGGCTGGCGTATAAAGTATTCTTCCCTGAATAATGGGCTTTATCGTATTCCAAGTAAGCTTCCCCTGATTTGTGGATGTTACATCTCTATACAAACGTTTGCAGTATTTTGCTAAGAAATTATAAATTTTAAATCGTTTTTTTTTAATATACCATATTTATTTTATATTATTATATGCTCACTTGGCCTCCAGTCCGAGGATGAATCTGTGGATCGACGAGTGCGTTCTGAGGACTGGAGGTCTGACGACAAACAACACAAAGACAGTTAGTGCACTTAATATAAGTATTTCCTTAAGGGATAACTCACTTGGCATTGAATCTAATTCATCATCATTCGTTTGACTCAAGTCCTCTGATTCCAGGATCTCGTTCACCAAAGGAATAGTATCCGTGTTGGGAAAAGGATGTCCACACAAAAGTACTCCCAACTTTACAAAGGTTTCACGATCTAAAAAATCATATGTATTATTTATAAGTGGAATTTTATAAAATTTTAAATTAAATTTTAAATCTTACTGGAAAACAACTGCTTTATATCAAAGCTATAGTTCATTCGGCGCTCGATTTCTGGCACTAGGGAGATTATTTCACTTATATTACCTGAAAGTAGAATTAAATAAATTGGAAAATTAAAGGGTTTTCGTTGTCGATTTGCCGGCTTTTCATTTTCCATGATTCATCAGGTTGGCTTAATTTATATGTAGGACAATATTTTCAATAGATGGCTCTAATTTTAATTAGAGGGTTTATTCCTGAGGGCTGTTAGTCTTTTAATTAAATTATAATAAGTAGCTATATGTGTGAGAGTAACTCTAACTATTTTTTCTCGTAGATTTCTATCCTTGTATTTAATCTCATGTGTTATAAAAAACATATAGCATTTATGTATGTTTATTTGAAGGTCCTTATCATATATAAAGATAGTATAAATACATTTTTTTTTTAACAAAAACCTATTGAGTTACCTTATTTTCTATTTCTGCATAATTATCTTTAAGAAAAACCCAAAGAAAACCACCTGTTTATGATCACTCATTAAATAATATTTATCTTTTATTTTTTTCACTTTATCTTCAGTAATTTTTTATTAACTACTCACTTCTAATAATGTCAAGACGATCGCTGGTAATTAATGTGGTGATCGCCGATACAAAGTTCCCCTTCTCGGCAAGTTCCACGACGGCCTTGAGGAGTCGCTCGTCGGTCACAAAAGCATTGATTACTTCAATCACAGAATGTAAACTAAAATAACACATTAAATTTCAATAAAACAATTAATTTATTTAACAGATAAACTTACGGCGCCTCTTTCCATTTGGAATACTCTTCATAGGGCTCCGCCGGCTTACATCTATTCTCCAAACTGCAGATGTAGGAGAAGGCCGCTGGCACTACCTGATTCTTTGTGGGCAAGAGTCTAGTCGGATACTGGCAAGCCGGAACGTGCTCGGAGCCATACTTCAGTCGGATTAGGTAGAGCAGCATGAAGATCATCATGGGCCAGCCCAGCAGGATCAGGGTAAGGATCTTCTGGCGCCATCGCACAATCAGATCCTTTCGCAGCAATTCGCGAATCTCGCGGGCATCCAAATGGATCCGCATTTTTGGTTAAAGTTTTTGTTCTAGGTTTTTAGATTTTTTTTAAATATTTAAGATTACTCCAGCATTTTTCAAAATGGGGCTGTAAAAGGAAAAAATAATCAAATTATTATATTGATTTACCAATATCAAATGCGTTTATACAAAAAAAATGTGGCTATATCGTTAACTAGTGGTTCTGATTAAAAATATATCACTAAGATTAATTTCATAATGAATAATAAATTATTTGTACAAATTCAATAAACATACCATAAATATTTAAAATAGAAATACCCACTTAAATACAAAAATAAATAGCACATGCCTCTTAAATCAACAACTTCAAAGAGATTAATGAACAACTTTAAAATAAACTTCCCCTTTGATATTTTTATTCCTGAAAAGATTTATTCATTTCAACTGCATTGCGTTTATCATCCAGAATCACCATAAAAATCTCGAGAGTCTGGTCTAAAATTTATAACCAAATGCCGCATCGAGTAGGAAATACTCTCGACTACTTAATTTATTTTATTTTTATTTTTCCTTTTTTTTTGTATTTTGATGTTTATTTGAGATTACTGATCGACTGTCCGTATAATTGATGGGCGTGACTCACAACAGAGCGACAATTTAGTCGCCTGCCCGATTCGTTGAATAATTTAATTTAAATTACAAAAGCACGCTTTTTAAATAATTGTCATTAAATGGCATTTAATGTTGGTATGCGGGGAGGTGGAGCTAACTCTTCAGTTCGCCAACGGGAAGCATTTTTCCAGCCAAGGCAAGCCACTTAGCCTGAATTAGCAACGCGACCAGAAAAAAAAAGAAAACAGAGGAGCCGACTATGTTTTAGGGGAAGTAAAGCATATGGATCTGTTTATATATATCCATATACCTCTATATTTAGAGATATGTGATCCCATAACCCGCTAAAATTATCACTCGACTCTCTTCCGCCGGCGAGCTCTGTGAAAATATTGGAAAAAGTTGGTCAGCAGTTAAGATTACTGTTTGTTTGTTTATTTCTTTATTTATGGGGAAGTAAAATGGCTATGCCTAGCTTCCTGCAGTTTATTTTTTTTTATTTGATTATTTTAAGTATTATTTTTAGAGTTTTTTTTAGAAATAATAAAGAATCAACAAAAGGATTTAGACAGTAAAGTGGGGAGTCTCAAAGGGGGCCCCGATTGAAGACTATATCTTGGCCAATTTCCATCAGATTCTTGCGGGGAGTATCTTTAAAGTTTTGTAGAACGATTCTCCACCAATCTGCATCAAAATCTAGGAACAAAATATTTTTTAGATTTTTTGTCCAAATTTCTGAGGAATCCCCTTCAAAGTCCTGAAAAAAGCATGGGGAGCACCACAGGGCCCCGATGGAAGGCTACATCTTCGCCAATTTCCATCAGATTCGTGCGGGGAGTATCTTAAATGTTTTGTAGAACGATTATCCACCAATCTGCATCAAAATCTAGGAACAAAATATTTTTTAGATTTTTTGTCCAAATTTCTGAGGACTCCCCTTCAAAGTCCTGAAAAATGCATGGGGAGCACCATAGGGCCCCGATTGAAGGCTGTTTCTTCACCAATTTCGATCAGATGCTTGCGGGGAGTATCTTAAAAGTTTTGTAGAACGATTCTCCACCAATCTGCATCAAAATCTAGGAACAAAATATTTTTTAGATTTTTTGTCCAAATTTCTAGGGACTCTCCTTCAAAATCCTGGAAAATACATGGGGAGCACCGTAGGGCTCAGGACGAGGGCTATATCTTCGCCAATTTCCATCAGATTCTTGTATGGAGTATCTTAAATGTTTTGTAGAACAATTCTGGGATTATTTGCTTTAAAGTCTGCAAGCTTAATCCCTTTTAGATTTCTTTCTAGCATGGAGTTGTTAATTTTTTCTCCAGTAATTGCCCATTTATTTATACCATTGCAATCAAAAAAATAATGAACATGTATATGAACTTTTAATAGCTTCAAAACCCCAATAAAAGCGTGAGTTATTCCAAAAACTTGAGATCTATTACATCTTATGGCGCCAAAGTCGGCTGTCCATCAAAGTCAAAAGTCGGATCTGGCGATGAAAGATGAGCCGCGTTTATAGCCCGCAGTGGCGGGGAACTCTACTCCAAACCAGTTGCAAAAAGAACAACAAAAAATCAAACAGTTCACTGTACAGGTGAACAATTAAAGAGCGAAACAACAACATAAACCTAAAACTCAATTCTCATGTTGAGGTTTTTTTGTTTTTTGCTTTTTTTTGTGTTTGATATGCAAAGCTTGACTTGTGACTTTTGATGGGATTCCTTCCCATTCCCCTCGAAGTCTTTTTTGACTTTTAAATGCCGAGAAACGTCTGATGAATTTTCAGGTAGTATTTCTCTAGGTTTTTTGTTTATTATTTATTTATCAGAATATTTAGTTGAGTAAACAAAGTGGGGAAAATCTCAAAAGGCTTGGAGCGCTTCAGAGTTAAATGATGAGGAAAGTTATTGAAAAATAAACAAAGAAATACTAGAAAGTGTTTAAACAAGAGTATTATTGAAAGGTTTTAGATTTTGGCTGATTAATCGCTTTGTTCTAGAAGTTATGTATTACATTTTAAGTATTATATGTATCTTTTCGTAAAAAGTCTAGTTTGTTTTTTAAGATTTTAGTTAAGAAATTATTTGGAAAAATTCAAAATAATAATCCATAATAATAATTCAAGCTTTTTCATCCCCATATTTTAATTTAATCTAATGATAACCAATGTTTAAGAAATCTTCCCTATACATTTAAATCAAGTTAAGTTATTAAATAAGTTACTAAGTAAAATTGTCCAAAGCTCAAGCTAAGCATGTCTCCATAAAAAATACCTTAATAAAAACAGTCTTAAAAACCTGCCTGAACTTGAACTTCCACTTGAAGTAGAAATATACTGCTAGAATATACTGGTATAGTATATCTCTTCCCTAATCATCTTTAGATTGCACGTAAGTCTTTGACTAAATTATAAACTTTCGATTTAAGCAGCAGTTAAGTATCTGTCTGGGGTAATTCCAGGTTCCTGAAATTCATTTGAATCTCGTCTGAGTGAGCGAGTGATTGGAACGAGTTTTTGATAGAAGGGGGGAGGTCTCTTTTTTAAGTCACCACAAAATCCCGTTTTTCTACTTATATACGCTTACTTTTTGTTTTAAATTTAATTAGTTTTTTAGTACGCAAAAACATCTGGTTATTATTAAGCAGCTGATTTCCACCACATAGTCCATATAAACAAATTATCGTGGGTTCCACTCATTTATCAACATTGTTGTTCGCACAATTACCTTGCAATTACTAATTATTACTCTTCTTTTTTTGCAGTGGAAATAGCAAGCTGATAAGCTGATAAATCTATATGTATATTTTTTTTTAAATATATATAGTTGACACAGATTTTTGTGATGGCGGGAAAACTGGAACACGAGCAGTTCAGGCAACATTAAACGGGGATCGATCAAGTATTAGATAATCCACTCCGAGATGATGACATTGCCATCGAATGCAGCATTAAACTCATTTTTTTTGCTACCCCATTGGCTAATCAGCAAGTGCAACTTTAGAGACTGGAACCAAGACTCGCACTAAGACTTGTATTAAGACGCGAATAAAGTCTGAAATCAAAACAGAAATTGGAACTGGAATTGGGAGTTGATTTGGTTTGAAAACAGGCTCAGTTTCGTGTTTCCCAAGTCCCAAGTCTGTTTTGAGGCCTTTTTTTTATCAGCTGAACTATTTTTTCCATTAGTATGTTATTATTATTTTTGTTGCGTTTTTGCGAAGCCCACACACATCATTATCTTGTGCAATTTATAAGGTTCTATTCTATTTGCATATCCATCATTGGTGGCCTCAACTGACAGCTGCACTAATTAAGAGGAGAGCTCGACCCACCTTGGTCCCCTTTCGGCCAAGTTAGTTGCCTCACTGCTAACCAATTTAGTTCAAATGCACTGGAGGAAATTATTGGTATAATTAAGTTATTATTTAAAAGGTTTGGGAAATTTGTATACCATTTTTTGTATTAGAAATAACAACTACTATTTGTAAAAGGCCCTAAATTTGACCTAAAATTCTGTTAGAAACTTTTCAAATAGGCTATAGTACCACCTATTTAACATCGAAAATTGTGTAAAATATTTCTATAAAAACTATAAAATATATGAAAATTTTTCGCAGTATATTAAGCTCACCCACTAAAGTGTAATCAGCATAAACATAAAATACAAACACTCCAAACAATATAAGCAATTGGCAAGAGAGTTTCTCGAGCTTTGAGCTCCAGTCTAGGTGCGATTTATCACCGATATGCCCACAAACATACATATATCTATAAAGATATATACACTTGTATATTGGCTAACTCGGATTTCACTAACGACCTTGACCATGAGTCTTCACTAAAAGCGAAATCAAACAGAAACTGGAATATAGACACAGAATTAAATCGCTAACTAAGCAAAAAAAAACAAAAACTCATAAAAAAGTAAAACTAGTTTTTTGTAGAATGCCCCCCAGAATCGAACCTCAACCCGTCACCTTTACAATGGTTTTCGTGTAGGGTGATTACATGGACCCCCCGGCAGCAGTAGCCACCGCCTCTGTAAAAGGCTGTAATAAAAAGATTTAATATCGCGTGTTAAAATCAGACGCGTTTTCCGGCTCCAATCTCCGCTAATGGTACAATTAATGATACAATTTATAGTAGCCGGTAAATATTAGCGTTTATACCATACATATATAGAAAAATGTACAACTACTTATGTCCAATTTGCCTTTCTTAACGGCATTAAAACATGGCTTGTGTCTACTGGCTGTTGGCATGAGTTTTTTAGCGGTTTTTATTTTATTAGTTGAAGGGTTTCGAAGTGGGCATTAAATATTTTTATCAACTAATAATTAAATTGGATAAATGTACTTACAAACTTAAGGTTCTGGTTTATTTCTGATTTTCATTAAACTTGATTCATGAATATGATTGGACTTTCATTAATCGATAAGATTACAATAAACTACTTATAAAACCCTAGTCAAAAAAATCCTCAAT